TAGAACCAACCATTGTCTGTGATGCGGGAGGTCTGCAATCTGGAGATGAATTTCCAATTGGTGTTACCGTGGTAACCTGCACAGCAACAGATGCAGCTGGAAATCAAGCATCTTGCTCCTTTACCATCAATGTAAATGGTGAGTGAAGTCTTAAAAGAGAATAATGCAGCTATTTGCCTCTTTCCTATGCTCTAAGCATGTTGCTGACCATTCTGCTTTCACTTGTTGGTTCAGGGTTGTTGAATCGGTTTAATAACTTATTTCCAGTCATTTTTAATTGGTTTGATATCACTTTGACTTTTTGTCTTCCTGGAGCCATTTTCAAATCTGTAGATTTTTTTTTAATAAAAGGTGCAATTGTTGTTGAATTTCCTGTACAATTAGATGACGAAAAACCCTCCATTTCCTGTAGCGATGACATCACTGTTGAAGAAGATGATTGCCTGAATGTGGCTGTTGTGACCTACACGGTCACTGCGACAGACAATTCGGGCGTGGCCCCTCAGGTTTCGTGTTATCCTGAGTCAGGTTATGCTTTCCCATTGGGGACAACCACTGTAACTTGCGTCGCCATTGATAGTAGTGGCAATGAAAATCACTGCGATTTCACCGTCACCGTTGAGGGTAATGTATGTTTCAGTATAGGAGAAGATCGCTCTCTTTCTAGTTGTAAGCATAGGAACACTGACGATGAGAAACATCACAACACATGAATTTCTCTTGTGTTAGGCAACAGCCCATATATTTCAGCCATTCCTTTTGTTTGACTGACTTTGAATTGTGCCTGTCCTTTAATTCCTAGCTTGATCTATGACTCTCTTGGCAATTTTTCAAAACATTATTCAAACGGTCACTCATTCTCAGTCTTCCTCATTTTAAAGCAGTGTACTTGCTGGGTGAAACCAAGTGCATTATGGTATATGAAGCTTTTCACTGATACTATTTCTAGCTGGAATTTGCTGTGTAGATTTCATGATACTTCAATAAACCCTGCAGATGATTATGGCAGCTTTCTACTGGACTTTTCCTATTTAGATAAGGATCCATGTCTCAACAACCAATGCCTCAATGGTGGTACGTGTATACCGGACCCAGTGGACTGCTATAAATATACATGTGAATGCACACCCTACTACAACGGAATCTACTGTGAAAGATGTGAGTCATTTTCTTATCAAGACTTTCTTTTTAGCATTTAGTCTTACTGTGGGATTGTGCATCTATATTGCTAGCAATGCTACATCATCGATCCTCATAGAAAAATGTTCCTTCCAACAAAAGAAGACGTCAGGGCTATACGCTTAACAGCCTCTTCCTTACAGAAGCACTGCTCGCAAAAACCATAAAGGTTCAATACAAGTGCACAGATTCCGAAGAGAATACCACTTTCAAGAGACAGGATCCATTTCTGCTCGCAGTGTTCCTTGTCCAGTTGGATGTGCAACAGGTTACCGTTGAGGTACCAGACAACGCTTTGATTCAGGATGGGGGAATGCAGGACGTCACGTTGGACATTGATTTCATCCCAACGGACGATTCGGCAGGTGTTGTCAATGCAGCTGGGACAGATAGATACAGGTATCAGTTTCTCTCTAATGGGCCACACGACATAATTTAATTTCCCTATATTGTGGCTGTGACATGCATGAGTGCGTAGACTGTATGTGCACTGATTTAAGGTGTCATTACACAAGGGACATTGTTTATGATACAGATATACCTCTTTTGTATTATTTGCGAGCTTACATAATGCCTTAACCTTTCTTCAAAATGACACATATCAAGTTTTCTTCGAAATGGCACATTTGAAGTTTTGCATCCATGGTTTGCTCTCTTTTTTGACAGCTAGAGAGTTTGAAATGAGATGATCCAATTTGGACCCCTGGTCAAGACATAGGAGGATATACCCCATCCCCGGAATTTACGCCTACGATTGTGGCGACCCAACACTTGTGCATCACAAACTAACCAGCAGTCAGTCATATCCATTCACAAAGAAAATGGAGCATCTGTTCAGTGAGGAGTTATGGCTTTGCCTTTCCATCGCCTCACACAAAGTCAATGATCTCACTAACGCAAATGTGATTCAACTCTGACAGGATTCAGGTGTTCCTGGCAACAGACTCTGATGGCAGCAACCCGACCCCTCCGACGGATGCCGACCTGACCCCTGGCCAGATGCAGCAAGACATCACGGACCTGATCCTCAACACCTTCGATGATGTAGTGGTAACTCTCGATCTCACACAGGTCAGTTGCTTTGAGGGCCAGTACCAGTACATTTGCATCGATCTCGGGCCATCGCAGGCAGCACTGGATGGTGAGCTATGGGATCAGGCACCCCCGGCTATACGGATCGGATGTGCGCAGATAACTTGTAAATGTAAGTATGCACAAAACCGTGGCTGCTACTGGTATGCACTGATGCTAGACTTCACTTTTGTGGTCAGTTGATGGAAAGGGAAGATATGGCATACATGTTGGTGTCAATGCTGTTGGAGTAAAACTGATTTGAACAGAAAAGCTGTCATGCATATCCGTAAGCATTTACAATATTAAGTAATTTTAAGCCCGTTGAAACTAACTGGCTTATTAAAATTGGCAGGTTGCTTAAAATGAGTAGAAATTAATACCATAACATTGGGAACTATAAATAAGTTTTTTTGTGCTTGATAAATACAGTTTGGAAGTTAATGTTGGTGAAAATTATGCTAACAGAAAAAAAGCACATTTTGTCAAATTAGAGTAACAAGGTCATATCTCATTACAAAACAATGAAAGTTACGACCTTGTTACACTGATATGCCGATTTCATATTAATATTTTTAAATTCTACTGTAAACTTTAATATCAAAATTGCTTTTATGCAGAAGTAAATTAGGTGAATCTTTTACCCTGTGTGATACCCCAAGAACTGTGTGGTTCGTCGTAACCACACTCCATTTGTGGAAGCGCGGCAGATGACGAACCACACAGTTCTGGGGATACCTGTGTGACTGATCATTGACAAGCTCTGAACTCAAGACCTTCATCAGTTTCACTGGCAACTTCTCTTTTCCACTTACTTTGGTGCTTTCACTTCACCAGAAACTGTTGGCCTTCACTGTCAGATGTCAATTTTGCCAACCTATTTCTTGAGCTGACATGCAATTTGTGCATAATAAAGTAGCCTATACACTTTGGCAGTGGCAGATGCTGGCAAGACCCTTGCAGCAGCATTTTAACAGTTGGCTCAGTTTTCCAGCTATGACCAGTGCATCCACATGTGCATGTACTTGTATCAGCGACCACCTTTTTTCTATTGTTCAATCATTTGACAGCTGCCGTGGAGATCAACATTGACCTTGTCCGAGTTGACTCCCCAAGCACTCTTATCCTCTGCGATGAAGAAATCAACGAGGTGTCAATCACAATCATGGCCACGCCCACTACAGACTCATCTGGCCCAGTCAATGGTTGTGACGGTGGTGATCGCTACTCAGTCACCGCTGTTCTCACTACAGACACACAAGGCAGCAATTCGTTCCCAATTCCTGAAGGGGTGCTAACCCCAGTTGTAAGTATTTTTTACTGTCATTCTAGGTAGGTAAGTGAAATGCATACATTGAATCACCTGGTCGTTTCCCTGTTACTTCGCATTGACCATTAAAGGTATTAAAAAACACAATGAAGAAATGAGACAGACTTGTAAATAGAAGTCACTTGATGCCATCCTTGTAATACAAGAGTATGAAGGAGGCACAGTGACCGGGGAGTGATGGGGGGTGGAGCCCCCCCCCGTTAATTCCAGTCTGCAAATGAATAAAAAATCAGTACATAAACCTATACGTTGGCCATCAGCATTTCTCCTGAAGCATGAAATGTAACATACTACCACAGATCACTTTCTGAACTTTACACCACACAAAGTTGGCAAACACGGCACAAGTCAGCAAACTGACACTGGCACGACCCTCCCAAAGAAAATGTCTTTGCTACGCCACTGACAGTAAGGCCGGTTGTCCACATACTCCGTTCTTTATAGATCGCTGTTTCCATTCGTCAAGTCTAACTGCAAGAAACAAACTTCATTATAGCAACATGATCCTTCCCTTTTAGAAAAGGGAGTCATTGGTGAATACCTCCACCAAAGCTTCTAATGGAGGTATGCCATGGGTGTTATCACAGTTTTACACTTTGACAATGAAAGACTGTTTTTATCAGTCACAAATTCTGAGCGAACAGGCACAGGAGGTGCAGACTTTGAGCAAGAATAAATCCTTATGTCCATCATCACAAAACTGGACATAAAAAAGGCATCTGATCATTACATTTATTCAGACATTT